AAGTTAGAGAGAGAGAGAGAGAGAGAGAGAGAGAGAGAGAGAGAGAGAGAGAAAGAGTGAGAGAGAGGGAGGGAGATAGATAGATAGATAGATAGATAGATAGATAGAATAATCAATCGATAGAGAGATAGAGAGATAGTGAGAAAGAGATTGAGCGAGAGAGAGCGCTCGCTCGCTCGCGCGCTCGCGAGAGAGCCAGACAGCACTCTACCTGACAGCGCGCCTGCCTGCTCTTCCTCACGGACTGCGGCGTCGCGTCGACGTTCGACTCCGGCAGCAGATGTAGCAGCTCCTCCGAAATCCTCTGATATGGTTCGATTGGCAGCTCCAGAAGATGCTGCAGGCGGTTCAGCTCTTTGTCCAGCTGTGAGGGAGACAGCGTCGAGACGGTCAGGATTCAGTCGATTGTGAGTCGCTTTTAGTTAATTGGTTTATTTATCCACTTCGTGTTAATTAAAACCGATTGCATCGTCGTCTTTTATTTTTTTAAACATTTTTTTCGTGTTTTTTTCGGTACAGTCGTTAGGCGCATTATCCTATCAATATCTTAAATCAGAGAGCGAGGCTATCATCGTCGCCATCGTCATCATCATAATCATTATCATCTCCATCATCATTATCACCATCATCATTATCATCACCATCATCATCATCGTCGTCGTCGCTGTCGCCATCATTAACGTCGGCTCTGCCATCATAGCCGTCGGCATCAGAACCAATAACATCAACCTGACAACGAGAGGGACGTCCGATCATCAACCCCCCCCCACCCCACCCAGTGACGGTTGCCGTGGGAACCCGCCTCTCTCCATTCGCACCTGCGTGAGTTCTCGCTTGTAGACCCTGTTCTGCACCTCTGCGCGGTAGAGCAGCTCTCTGCGGTCCTCGCCCGCGAAGCGCCGCGTCCTGCTCTCCATCTTGAGACCGGTTGCTTCGAGCACGGGATCGCCGTCAGGACACTTGACTATCGTGAGTATCTACGGGCAGCAGCCGCGTGAAAAATACGGATTACCGCTACGCAGGAATTAACCGTCATCGGCGCAGCCGTCCGAGCGTGACAATGTTGAACTGAAGGAAATGCCGTTTTATTAGTATTTTTATTTGTTTTGTTTTTAGGTTAGGTCGGTCAGGTTTGAACGATTTGTACGTTTTTTTTCTAAGCGCGCACGCCAGCATGTTGTCTTCGCTGCTAAGCATTGCCTTCAGAATGTCATATCCCGGCAGGGATTGGTTAGAGCTGCCTGTCGATCATGCCAGATGGTGAGATCAATTGGAGGTTCAATGAGAAATGATGCTAGTTGATTTTAAGGTACGTTGTTTTTACGGTAAGCTAGGTTGAGGCCACCTAGTCGTAATCCTTATTAGCCACAACAGGCGCTTAACGACATACCGGCAATAATAAATTTGCACGAAACATAATAAATACAACAAATAAAAGCTACAGATATATTCACCTTTGGCACAAACGTGAAGCACGAAGTAACGGTAGTTGGTCAATCAATATAATTCAACATACAGCGATACAAAATTTTTTTTTTTAATATACTCGCATTTAGTACAAACGTAAAGCGTAGAGTTGCGATAGTTGGTCACTCAATAAACTTGTTTTAAAATACATGGGTACAAATAATAATTACACATATACTCGCCTTTGGCACAAACGTGAAGCACAGAGTAACGGTGGTTGAGAGAAGTATGAGTGACGCTATCAGCACGTACACCAGCGTATGCTCCTTCATCACTATGTTCGATATGACTACGACGATGATGCTGATGATGACGACGTTATACACGCTCATCCCTGCGCAGCGGGGGAAAACATACATGTACACACACTCGGTTTTATAGATTTACCACTAACTATTTTACTACTGTTTTATTAGTAACGCGTTCCAGCGGTAGTGCGCTAGTGTGCTTTTATTACAGTGGGTTAATTACACGCGGTGCGCTACAGTGTCCCGACGGATAAGGCAGCTACTTGGCTCATCTCCTAACCCTAATATGTTTACGGCACCTGATATTATTATGTTATGTGAATAAATGCGCGCACACGCGCACGCACGCTCCACCGCACATACACACGCACGCACACACGCTCGCGCGCATGCACCGCACGTACCACCGCATATGCACACGCACGCACACACGCTCGCGCGCATGCACGTACCACCGCACATGCACACGCACGCACCACCGTACATGCACACGCACGTACCACCGCACATACACACGCACGTACCACCGCACATGCACACGCACGTACCCCCGCACATGCACACGCACGCACCACCGCACATGCACACGCACGCACACACGCTCGCGCTCATGCACGTACCACCGCACATGCACACGCACGTACCCCCGCACATGCACACGCACGCACCACCGCACATGCACACGCACGCACACACGCTCGCGCTCATGCACGTACCACCGCACATGCACACGCACGTACCCCCGCACATGCACACGCACGCACCACCGCACATGCACACGCACGCACACACGCTCGCGCTCATGCACGTACCACCGCACATGCACACGCACGTACCCCCGCACATGCACACGCACGCACCACCGCACATGCACACGCACGCACACACGCTCGCGCTCATGCACGTACCACCGCACATGCACACGCACGCACACACGCTCGCGCGCATGCATGTACCACCGCACATACACACGCACGCGCACACGCTCGCGCGCATGCACGTACCACCGCACATGCACACGCACGCACCACCGTACATGCACACGCACGTACCACCGCACATACACACGCACGTACCACCGCACATGCACACGCATGCACACACACACGCGCGCATGCACGTACCACCGCACATGCACACGCACGTACCCCCGCACATGCACACGCACGCACACACGCTCGCGCGCATGCATGTACCACCGCACATGCACACGCACGCACACACGCTCGCGCGCATGCACGTACCACCGCACATGCACACGCACGTACCACCGCACATGCACACGCACGTACCCCCGCACATGCACACGCACGCACCACCGCACATGCACACGCACGCACACACGCTCGCGCTCATGCACGTACCACCGCAC